GAGAACATAGCGTTGGCCGGCAGACCTATTTCACTCGACGAACAAAACTTGTTCGTTTTTAGGGGCCTGCGTCCGGAGTACAGGGCGATGGCGTCATCTCTTGCAGCGGCCGAGACTCCAGTGACGATCTCCCAAATATCCGATCACCTGCAAGCCCAGGAGTTCATTCATTCCGACGATTTTCCGGCGGGATCCGACGTCGGCTTCGGTGCTGCTCCAGTGGTGAACTATGCGGGGCGGGGCAGGCGCAATGATGGCGGACGAAGCTCCGGCAATGGCCAGAGCCGGGGCAGTGGCAACCGCGGACAAGGAGGCAACCGTGGGCGTGGCCGGAACAATCCCCCACGCTGCCAAATCTGCCGGAATCAGGGGCATACGGCCGTGACATGCTACCAGCGGTATACCGGGCAGTCACAGCCGCAGGCCCACGTCGCGGTGACCGCCGATGATGGTGTCTCGGGTGGATCCGGCGGCTGGTTTCCCGACACCGGCGCCTCGGCTCACGCGACGCCTGACTCCAGCTTGTTGAATCAGTCCGAAGAGTATTCGGGCAGTGATGTTCTGCGCGTAGGTAACGGGACAGGTTTGACAATTACTCGTGTTGGTCACGCATCTGTATCATCAAACTCTAAACCATTAAAATTGTCTAATGTTTTGCTTGTCCCTGAATTGTCAGTTCCGTTACTTTCCGTACAACAATTTACTAACGAAAATAATTGCTATTTTGAATTTCACAAGAACTGCTTTTTTGTGAAGGATTCCACAACTCGGGCAGTAATGCTTAAGGGGCCCACATTGGGTGGCCTATACAGACTCCCAGTATCGTAGTCACACTTCGCGTTTCTCACCTCTCGAGCAACCGCGGACGTGTGGCATCGCAGGCTTGGCCATCCACATGCGAGTGTTCAAAGTCGTGTTCTAAAATCCTGTCCAGTTTCAGCTAATAAAGCTTCCGCGTTGGAGTCTTGCAAATCGTGCCATTTGGGAAAAGCTGCTAGATTTCCATTAGATAGGGTCCTGTTCAGTAGTAATAATGTATTAGATTTACTATATACTGACATTTGGGGTCCATCTTCTGTAATATCATCTAGTGGCTTCAGATATTTTGTACTCTTCGTGGACGATTTTTCACGCTACTGCTGGTTTTATCCCTTGCGGGTAAAATCAGATATATATACAATTTTTGAGTCGTTTCTAGTCATGGTAGAACGCCAATTTTCGCGTTCTATCAAGTCCATTCAATCAGATTTGGGGGCGGGGGGAATACCGAAAATTACACACCACCTTTGTTAATCTTGGTATAAATCACCGTCAGTCGTGTGCATACACACACGAACAAAACGGGCGGGTTGAACGTAAAAACCGACATATAGTCGAAACAAGCTTGGCCCTACTGGCCAAAGGTTCAGTCCCGTTACAATATTGGGACTACGCTTTTGAAACCGCTACCTGTTTAATAAATTACCTACCCTCCAGTGTCCTACAGTTTCAAAGTCCATATACCCTGCTACATAAAGTGTCACCCCCATACACCTTCCTCCGAGTTTTTGGGTGTCGTTGTTACCCTTATCTAAGGCCTTATAATCGGCACAAGATAGAGTATCGTTCGGCACCCTGCGTGTTCTTAGGTTACCCGTTGTCCTTTAGGGGGTATAGATGCGTTGATTTAACATCGAGGAAAGTCTATATCTGTCGCCATGTGCGCTTTGATGAAAATGTTTTCCCATTTGCAGACATTGACAAACAAGCCAGCATCACCGAGACACCACCTGCTCTACCGTGGGCGGCTAGTCCTGTTTTAACTCAGACTATGCCAACCACATTGGTTCCGGAGTCACCCGTACCCTTAACTCGAGAGTCTCCGGCTCCCTTAGCCATTGAAGGGCCCAGACCGACTCGAAGGGCTAGGGTGCGTAAAGCTCCAGTCAAGGCTCGGGACCATGTAATGCGGCTACGTCGTATGACTCGAGGAACAGGAGAAGAGTTCCATGCCTTACACACGTCCACTGATCCGACATGTTATTCACAAGCCATTGGGCACCCACAGTGGCGTGAAGCCATGGATCAAGAATTCAACGCCCTGCTGCATAATAACACTTGGGCACTTGTTCCAGCAGACCCTAGTATGAATGTAATTGGGTGTAAATGGGTTTTTCGGACCAAACGCAATGCGGATGGCTCGGTGGAACGCTATAAGGCCCGATTGGTGGCCAAAGGTTTTAATCAGGTAGCCGGCGAGGACTTTTTCGACACTTTCAGTCCGGTAGTCAAACCGACTACCGTCCGCTTGTTGTTCTCACTAGCTGTTTCCCATGGGTGGACCTTGAGGCAGCTGGATGTCCATAATGCCTTCCTCAATGGGCACCTAGCGGAGACTGTTTACATGAAACAACCTCCAGGTTATGAAGATCCTGTACACCCAGATCATGTGTGCCATCTCCAACGCTCTTTATATGGCCTGAAACAGGCCCCCCGGGCGTGGTTCAAAAGGCTGCATGACAATTTACTCTCTGCAGGTTTTTTCTCGTCAAAGACGGATGTGTTCCTTTTTCATTTCTCCACAGGTTCATCACGCGTGTATCTACTGGTCTATGTAGATGATATCATCATGATGGGGAATGATGCACCGTTAATCACGACCTTACTTAATCGACTGTCCGACACGTTCAAGATACGGGATCTTGGTACGCCAAGTTTCATCCTAGGTATTGAAACAGTTAACCTAGATTCGGGCATGATGTTGTCTCAACGTCGTTACATGAACGACATACTGACTCGTGCTGGCATGTCCGACTGCAAACCACTTACTACTCCCGCTGTCGTGACTAAAGTTGTTACACCTACACAGGAACCGTATGACAACCCTACTCAGTACCGTCGCATCGTAGGAGCACTTCAGTACTTAACAATCACACGACCGGATCTATCCTTTTCGGTAAATCGGCTGTGTCAATACATGCACTCTCCGACGGTGGAACACTGGATGCTCCTGAAACGTGTACTCCGGTATATTAAGGGTACACTAACCTTTGGTCTACGCCTCTCTGTGTCCAAGTCGTCGGCTATTCACGCCTTTTCAGATTCAGACTGGGCTGGCTGCCCCGTGGACAGGAAAAGTACAAGTGGGTACGCCGTGTTTCTCGGGGATAATCTCATCTCATGGTTATCCAGGAAACAACGTATCGTCGCCCGATCTTCTACTGAAGCTGAGTATAAAGCTTTAGCAGATGTCTCGGCTGAGGTCACGTGGATAGTCTCACTGCTTCGAGAGTTGGGTCTACATGATGCTAAGCCGTCTACGCTGTGGTGTGATAATCTCGGGGCAACTTATCTATGCGCCAATCCGATCTTTCATGCCAGGACGAAACATGTAGAAATCGATTATCATTTTGTTCGGGATAAGGTAGCTTCGGGGGACATGCAAGTCAATTTTGTCTCAACCAAAGACCAGCTCGTAGATATCTTCACCAAACCGCTACCTGGGCCGCGGTTCACTTTGTTGCGTGACAAGCTCAATGTGGTGATGCACCCTCCTTGAGCTTGAGGGGGAGTGTTAAGCCATGTTATTATTATTATCTTTTATTGTTATTAGTTTTGTATTAGAATTAGTCAATAAGTTATTTATAGATTGACTAGCCTATTGTGTAGGAGTAGTTTACGACTATCTCTCTACTATTAAGTGTTTCAGTTGTAACCTCTTTCAGTTGAATGAACGATCATCTTCTCATCAAATTGACCCCTAAAAGTAAGCATCTTTTGGCATTTATCAAAAGTTTCCACACTTTAACCTTGCTTGTCCTCAAGCAAGTTATCAATCAAATCAAAAGTATGAATGCCAAAGGATAGCTCAAAAGATACTTAACACTCAAATGGTCAATCAATGCGAAGTCATGCATAAGAATCAAATGAATGACATTCTTCATGTTATCAAGCAAATGTAGGAAACCATGCGTGATACTTCTTTAAATCAAGTGATATTCAAGGAGACAAAAACCCCACAAGGTCAAGAGAAAGTACCAAAGGAAACATCTTTCACACACAACTTTTTTAGGCAAGCAAGTAAATGTATCCCTTTTTTTCCTTTTCTTTTTGTTCTTTTTTCTCTTTTTCTTTTTTTTTTTTTCTCTCTTTTCTTCTTTTCAATGATTCAAATCATCCAATCCTCGAGGGCATTGCAAAGCTGAAACAACTAGTGGGAAAGATGTGCGCAAGCTTGCCTAAAAAACTAGCCCAAAAAACTCAACATGTAAAGTAAAGTGAAGTAATGACATGGGCCTCTCAACGCATTTTGGCTTAATGTGATTCTCTTTTCTTCTCAACCCCCTAGGATAACGTTATTGAATAACCCAACTTCATATGGAGCTCCATGCCTTTTTGAAGACAGTGCAATGGGTGCCCGAATCCTACCAGGGTGGCTCACCTCCTCTCTTGTTTTCTCATCCCCGAGGATAACATCGTCGGGACAACCGACTTCACGTAGAGCTCTACGCTTTTTTGAAGGCGGTGCGATGGTTGCCCCAAATCCTAACAAGACAGATTTCGCCGTATTTTTCTCTCATAAGGGTGGCCATTTGTCTCTTTTGTTTTTTGCTCTACTCTTTTGACTTTTTCTTTTCTTCCCCTTGACTACCCCTCATGCTTTTTCCTTAGGGGTAGGGAATCACTCAAAGCTCTCTCACTCACACACACACACACAAACATATATCGACACACACACTAGTACCATAGGAGAGGAGTTAATGTTATTTAAGGTCCTCAGAGTTTGGTGATTTTGTCACGTTGGTCCTAAACTTTCAAATCGACCACCCGTGATCCTCCGAGTTTCGAATTTTGACCTGCCGTAGTCCTTTCGTTAACATATGTCGTCTGCACCATCAAAAGTAATGACAAAAGAGTCTTTTTATTTCTAGCCTAGCCAAAACAACTGATTTCTCTCAAGATTTAGCCTTAATATCTAATTTGTACTTCTTCTTCAACTGCAACTATTTCTGCTACTACATGAGCTACTAGGTGAGGTGGGATTCGTCGTCAAACTGTCAGCTCATCCACGAAATCATCGACACTTATGAGGACGACTTGCAGTTGCAGAGCAAGAAAATGGAGAAAAACAAGAGAGAGAAGAGAAAGAGCAAGGCCAACAACAATGGCAACAAAGGGTCCGCCGGTAGTCTAGCCGAGGCGAAAACGAAATCAGAGGTGATTTTAACCAACGGTGGCCAGTCCAACGCCTCCGCCGCGCCAACGACGGCGATAAGAAAGGCGCAGTCAGAAGGATTGTCAACTTTCAGGGAGAAATAATTTGGATTACGATTTGGACCTCAAGAATCTCTCAAGGTCGGTCGCCCATCTTTCTTTGGTTATCATCATCTCCACCGTTTCCCTATTTTTTTTTCCTGGATTGTGTAAATACAGTGTCGTCACCATGTAAAATATGCATCGTTTTGAATCATCAGCTGCAGCTCTCTGATTTTTCAAATCTTGTATATGTAAAGAATGTGAATTAAATCTCAATTTTCCAAAAAAAAAAAAAACAAAATTAATCTTTAAAGTGATTTTCTTGAACTGCATATTAGATTTCTTGCTTCAATAAATCTGGGTTTAGGACAAAATAAAAGCAATAAGAAACTCTTGAATTTGAAAATTGATAATTTTAGATATTAATTCTTTTGTATTTTCTATAACTTACAAGTAAAGAATATCTATGGAGAAGAAGTATGACTCAAAGGTTAGGGCTAAATCTTGAGGGAAATCAGTTGTTTTGGCTGGGCTGGAAATAAAATGACTCGTTTGCTCTTACTTTTGACGGCACAGACGGCAGATGTTAGCGGAATGACATGCTGAAATTTAAAACTTGGAGGACCACATGTGGTCGATTTGAAAGTTAAGGACTAAACGTGAAAAAATCACCAAACTTGGAGAATCTTAGATGGCATTAACTCCGTAGGAGAGAAATAAGAACCAATGTCAGCCTTACATCTGTAAAAATTTGATGGATCTAATCAGATTTTAAAAAAATGTGGTGGCAATATCTTCAACTTCACTATGCAAACTTGAACACTTAAATATGCAATCTTTAACAACTAAATATGCAAACCTGATAATTTTTATAAAATCAACGAAAAAACTAAATTTTAAATCTAAACCGTACATGCTAGATATTAAGCACTAAAAAATGAACCACTAAATCATATTAACCCAAAAACTCAACATAAACTCTAAAATCGAAACCGTAAGTAAAATGCACTTTTGCTTTTTTTTTTTTGCAAGTGCAATCTTTTAATATTAAATATGAAAAATGTTAATACTAAATGTGCAAACTTGGAAAAGTCTGAGAATTGCAGATTTTAAAGTTTACGTAGTAAAGTTGGTGATAATTATGAAAATGTCACCGCGTTTTTTTTTTTTTTTTTAAATAAAATTGATTTGATCTGTCCGATTTTCCAATTGTAAGGCTGGGTTTAGTTCTTATTTATCACCTAAGGACTTGTTCTTATTTGATCTAGTACCTATATGAGTTCAGATGAAATAAGGACCCATCCTTAGGTGAAGACGTGATGACTAATCTTGTGCGTTCGATTTTTTATTTGGATGACCCAGATTTGATTTCATAAGATGACATGGATTAATCTTTTTTGTTAAAGTGGGGGTAGTAGTGTCTTTTTTTTTAAAGTGTGAACACATGGGTAATTATTGGCCAAATTTATTTCCTATTTTCTTGGATCATCACCATTGCGATTTGGAATCACGATTTCTTCATCATCGATCGAGTGTTCGTCCATACAAAGCGATCAATATTTTTTTATGATTTTTCACTCGTTCTTTTGAGTATAATATTGCGTATATTTGGATGTTGGTGTATAGGTACACATGTATGAGTAGTGCAGTTGTGCTGGTTGTGCAACCCAGTGTTGTGAGCTGTGCATCGTAGGCTGGTGAGATGTGCATTAGTGCACTTAGTATGGTGCATCGTAGGACATTGAAATGTCCGTAGATTTTTTTGACAGTGTTTGAATGCACAATTAGAAAGTTATCGATACACGACACTCGGTATTAGAATGCATAACATCCTGTATAGGAATACACAACTTCTAATAAGACTTATTTACCCCTAACTTTTTTTTTTTTAAACGGATTTGTTTTCTTCAAATGCACATTGTTGTGCCTTTTTAAGGATTTTAACGGAATACAAAAAACCATAGAACAGAATGCAAACAACACCATAAAAAAGAACACATACAGATTAAAGGAAAAACACCATGCATACAAATCAAAGGATTTGATTACTTCACGCTTATTAAGGTCTTCTTCTGTTACTTTTTGCCTGTAGATTAAAAGTGTAATTTTTTTTTTCTCTTTAAAGCTATTGATTTGGACTAAATCAATGGTTGAGATTTATGCACATTTTTCACCTGTCAGCTCCTTCGCACTTAATCCTAGACCTATATATATACACACACACTTCAACCCATAGTTGAATTAAGTTAATCGCTAACTAATACAATAATGCTATATATCTATTTTAAAATCTTTATTTACTATATTAGAGTATAGGATATGAATATTTGGGAGAAGTATAGGATATGAATAGACGTATAGATGAGAGCGGATTTCTTTTTTAATTTTTTTTTTTTCAAAAGCAGTAAAAAACAACAGTTTAGGGGACATGAATTTCAGTTATGATTCCTTCCCTGTATGGGTCCAAATTCCAAATCAGTTCAACATGAATAAGAATAATAGGTTAATAGGTATGGGCAGTTTACTCCAAAGTTAAACAACAAATCCAAGTTTTTTTATATTATTTACCAACAAGCATTGATATGAAATGGAAGGAAGCATGGAACACCCACCAACTTTTGTGTAAAAAGTATGTTTCAACCACTGGAAAATGGAATAATCAATGATGAATGAATAAATAGTCTAAGAAAGAAAGTACAGCAAATTAATGAATGAACTCATACACAAAAACTTATTTTACTTCATTGGATTTTTGGTTTTAAATTGCAAAATCTTAATCTGGTTGGTGACCAAACAAAAAGATGTTCATCTTGAAAGATTTTTTCCACCACTAATTATGTGACATTTGGTATAAAAAGGTAATTATGAGAGAAAAGAATTGTAATTTCTTAAGAGAGAAATAAAGTAGGAAATTAATTTTTAATTCCACAAAGTGAAGGAGTTGCAATTTTATAAAATTTTAATTCCCTCGTAATAAACACATAAAATTTTCAAGTTTGATTATTAGACAAAAATATTTACAATTTCTTCATACCAATTGCCCGGTTAACCTCCTATTAAGTACATTTATTAGAGGATGTTTGGTAGAATATGAATTGGAATAAGTATAAGAATCTAATATTATTTAGAGCATATTTGGTTGGATGGAAATTTTTTTTCTTAAATTTGAGAAAAAAAAAATTCAATGAGATGGCTGGTATTTTGTTTTCCATAAAAGTTGAGAAGACAGTATCACATGATTGGACAATTTTATCGCAAATTATGCTGTGCAACCGAATGCACCATGCGCATGGTGCATACAATGCAAAACGATGTCGTTTTGGTTAAAAAACGCGCGTCCCACTTAAAAAAGAAATCAGGTTCGATTCCCGGCAATAGCATTTTTATATATCCATAAATTCATAACTATATATCCATAAATTAATAACTATATATCCACAAATTCATAAATATATATTCACAGTGAATGAATGAAGTAAAAATCCACAATGAATGAACTAAATATCCCCAATGAATGAACTAAATATCCACAATGAATGAACTATATATCCAGAAATTCATAACTATATATCCATAAATTCATAACTATATATCCACAGTGAATGAATGAAGTAAATATCTACAATGAATGAACTAAATATCCACAATGAATGAACTAAATATCCATAAATTCATAACTATATATCCCGAAATCCATAACTATATATCCACAATAATGCTATTGCCGAGAATCGAATCTGATTTTTTTTTTTAAGTGGGACGTGCGTTTTTAGTCAAAACGACGTCGTTTTGCATCGTATGCACCATGCACATGGTGCATTCGGTTGCACAGCATAATTATTGCAACTTTATCCTTATTATTTTTCTTGAAATTTTAATTCTGTTACCTCTCAAATATTTTTAGCAAACCAAAATACAGAATGGGCCTTAGTAATAGTATAAGTTGGTTGCCCAATAGCAATGCTATGCAACTGTGGGGCAAATTATGCTGTGCATCCGTATGCACCATGCATGGTGCATACGGATGGTGCATATGGATGCAAAAACGACGTCGTTTTAATAAAATGCGCGTCTCTCCTTAAAAAAAAAAATCAGGTCCGATTCCCAGCAACAACATATGAACTAAAATTCCATAATCGATGAACTATAATTCCATAATCTAATCTATGAACTAAAAATTCCAGAATGAATGAACTAAAATTCCATAATCTATAAACTAAAATTTCATAATCGATGAACTACAATTCCATAATCGATGAACTATAATTCCATAATCTAATCTATAAACTAAAAATTTCAGAATGAATGAACTAAAATTCCATAATCTATAAACTAAATTATCAGAACCGATGAACTACAATTCCATAATCGATGAACTATAATTCCATAATCAATGAACTATAATTCCATAATCTATGAACTAAAATTCCAGAATGAATGAACAATATAATGTTGTTGCTGGGAATCGAAGTTGAATTTTTTTAAAGGGGAGACGCGCGTTTTTTAATAAAACGACGTCGTTTTGGCATCCGTATGCACCATGCATGGTGCATACGGATGCACAACATAACGATTGCAACTGTGTGCACCACTGCAAAATGACGTCGTTTTGACTAAAAATGCGCGTCCCATTTAAAAAAAAAATCAGTTTCGATTCCCCTCAATAGCACTGATGGGGTGAGAACCCCGGCCCAAGAAAAGAGGCCCAGAAGGAATGCATGGGCCGAGTCCAGGACTCGGCCCAGGTCCAAAGAAGGAGGCCCAGTTCAGAGCCCGGAAGGACGGCCCAATGCCGAACGGGGGCGAGGAGTCGGCCCAGGCACGGCCCAGGAGAGGACCCGGTCCAGAGAGCCGTTGAAGGAGCCTTCAGAGCAGTTAAGGCAAGGAGCCGTTGAGGCATTAAAGGTCGGACTCGGTCCGCCAGTTACC